ACGCATGAATTCCATAACGAATAACTTTTTTTCTAGAAAAATCTCACCAAAATGCTTTTGTACGTTTGTAAACAATACAATGAGCTGTCACTGGAATAATTTTAACAGCTGTCGAACGAGTGGCTTAGAAATGACAGCAGTCTGAATTTGGTTGCAGTTTTTTGATCTTTCAAAATCAAAGATCAGATGACAATACGAGGATTATTTTATTCGGAAATTTTAACCATCAAGTGAGTCAACAAAAGAGTATTTTGGTTCTTTTTTTTTTTCAAAATATGATAAAAAAATCCTTTAAATGTGTTCGCAGTCCGTCAAAATATCCTAAAACTGTATTTCTCATAAGGAAAAATATTATAGAAAATAGAAATGGGGATTAAAAATATGACAAAAACTTAAAAGAATCTTGAAATCGGAGTTTATCCTTATGTAGAGAGTGAATCAAAAAGTGGACCGTTTTTAGCCCTTTTTTGAAGGGAAATGAAATATATCTCAAAATATTAGGGCTTCTTGGTATATGGTCAAGGATGTATAAGAGCCTTATAAAAATTGTCCTTAGAACCGAAACTCTTTGAAGGTTTTGACCTACAAACTAGTGACTACCAAAACCGCTTGGCATTCTCCAAACCCCATCTGTATTCTTTTGTTATGTATAAGTATTTTTAAGGGTTTATTAAATTTAACTTTAAATTCCTTTTGTACTGTGAAGTTTTGTACTATTTCACAAACGTTTACAATAATTTCATGTCGTGGAAAAATAAAACGATATTGACTGTATCAAATTTGTATTGATAAATATTTTTTTCATTGGCACACATATAACCATCATATGCTTTATTAGGGTTAATAATTTATTTAGCTTTAAAGCTATATTTAAATGCCTATACTCAAGTCCAGCTTGAGACATACAGCAAAACAGATTGAGAGAATAACTTAGCACTGGACACGACCAACATAAATTTAGCTTAAATTGTGCTTGCTCCTCACCAATTCAATTCAATTAAGCTTTTAACAAAAGAAAGCTTTTTTTAGTGAAAATAAATAAACAAATCGGCCGTATAAGAGTTCCAGCGCTAAATTGTAAACAGCGCTATATTTAAATAAAATGATAAAGCCATTTACACTTTTTTCACTGTCATGAAACTTTCTTGAACTTGAACGCCGTTTGTTGCTGCAGGTTATAAACCTCCGCAGACGTGTGTTATCTATACGCAAGTTTTTATGAGGAATGGAAGAAAACTATTTTCCTTTGTTTTGATATGTAAGTTAGTACGTATATGCATTTATTATCAACAAATTGTAAAGGGAATGGGATTTCACTCTTTCATGTCGGAGAACATTCTTGTGTAGATAAAAATCTCGTAGAAATTGTATATTAATAAATGATACATCTGCACAGTCTACGAAACTGAAAGAATTGTTTGATGAAATCTAGATTTTTACACCGTACAACACAAAAATAATTACAGGAAAAACTCATTAGATTATGAAAGTAGGGATAAAAAAGAAGAAATGCGTATCGGCGTTGTGAAGGTATCCCCTCTATTTGGGCGAAATCCATCCTATTCCACATTTTTTGAAAATTTTGGATTAAGATTCCTTGGAGCTCTTGCGAAAATATAGTGTCTTTGGAAATATTAATTATAACAATTAAAGGATTATTTTGGTGAAAAGTTTCACCCTCAAGCGAGTCACCAAAGGGTTATATTTGTGGGATCGTAGCAAGTCAAAATATTCTACAAAATTATTTGAAATCCTTTTATGGATCCTAGAATACGTCAAATGTCTAAATCTTTACCAAACGCCAAGAATTCATATTAAGGTCAAAGTTCACATGATTTTAGGCAACATATTCCTACATATCATTATTTTCTAAGGATGTCGTCAAAGGCCAAAATATTTTTATCAAATTTCACTATATGTCCTCAAAGAAAGGAAATCTCAATTTCCACTAAATATCAAGAAAATATTTGCATCAATGTTGTCAAAAAACGTGAAAACCCCGTCTGCATAAAATAAACGTGTTAGCCAGTAAGTGTCAAAAGAAGACATATTCACAAGACATTTAGGTATAAAATTTTTTAAGAAAATTTCATTCGAAATGTGTATATTACAAGTGACCATTTTCCACTGCTAATTTGATGTGTTTCCATTTTAAGTCAAAATCTTCTTTTTTTTTTTTGGGAATTGTAAAAAAAAAAAATATTTCCGATCAAATTTCGTTGTGAGCTTCTGAACAAATTTGTATTAAAAAATAATTTCCTATAAATTAAATACTTTCGTTACAAAGTTTTCATATACATAAGTTAACTGTCTAATAGCCAGTCTAGGTTGTGGAAGATTCCAGATTTGTTTTCATGATAAAAATCCCAAAAGATTTTCAAACTTTTAGACCACATGTAAGGCTTTATAAAATATAAAGGGACCCCAATATTGAGACTCATTTAGAAGTTTGAAAATTTATAAAATTGGTGAGATGAAAAAACTGCAACCAACTTTAGACTACTGTCATTTATTTCTAAGCCACTCGTCCGACAGTTGTTAAAATTATTCCAGAGACAGCTCATTATATTGTTTAGCGTACAAAAGCATTTTGGTAAGAATTTTCCAGAAAAAAAGTTATTCGTGTTGGAATTTAAGCGTGATAGTGTGATTTCTTTATATTTGGCTGGAAAACCACAAGTAAAGGAAGTGGACGGAAGAAAACAGCAACATCAGCAGAAATGGTTCGAAAAGCAAAGAAACGACTTGATCGAAACCCCCGTCGCAGTGGCCGAAAAATGGCTCGTGAGCTGAACATATCGCAATATTCCATTCGGCAAATATTGAAAAATGAGCGCGGTGTAAAGCCATTGAAATTCCAAAAAGTGCAAGAACTTACACCGCAACAGAAAAAAAATAGACTCAAAAGAGCTAAAGCGTTGCTTCGCTTGGCTGAAAGTGATGAACTGCCGAATTTGGTTTTCTCCGATGAGAAAACATTCGTTGTCCAGCAGTTTGTAAACAAACAAAATGAAAATGTGCACCTTCGGTAGGCCACCAGAACTCTTGATGATGGTGTGGGCCGCCACAACAGCCGATGGTCGCTCTCCGCTCGTATTACTCGATTGTGGCATCAGAATAAATGCCTAATAGTATCGCGAAAATATTCTGCAGGGTGTATTAAAGCCAAAATGAGGATCCTCTCTTCATTACCAGCGCATAATGGCTACCAAAATCTCCAGATACAAGTCCGTTAATCCATTGTACTATTGTGTCTAGAGTATTTTGGAAAGCAAGGATGGCACTAAAAATACCAAAGTATCGATCAACTTAAGCATGCGCTTCTCCGGGAATGGATCAAGATACCGCAGAGCAACATGGGGGCAGCGTGTGACGATTTCATTGGCCGTTGAAAGGTCGTAATTCGTGTCAAAAGTGACAAAATCTAAACTTATTCTAAAACTTGATGCTATTTCCGACATTTTTTGCTTTCATTCAATATAATTTTAAAAAAATATATAAAAATTATGGCGTTTGACTTTTTTAGTGGACCTGAATCGAACATTTTCGAAAGAAAACAATTGTCAAGTTTCATCTAATTTGCTGAGGAATTGTGACAGAAATAATTACCACTCGAATTCTAAAGTCGATTAGCCGAAGTAAGCTTATTTTGTATTTTTGTATTTATATCAATACCTTTTAAATTAAAATAAAATGTATACAATTTATTTATAAACGTATTTTTCCATATTTTCTTACCACTGCCACTAATCTTGGAAGAGGTAAATTTATGTTGTATGTGACCTCTCGAACTAAATATAGTTGCTATGGAACCCATGGTATGACTTTCAGAATAGGTAATATTTAAAATCGAATGAAACTACTTTATTTGATCAAAAGAGGCGTCGTCGATGTATTATTTACATCAACTCAGAGGGAATTTTATAAGGGATAAATATCAAAATCTGATCCGATCCCGACAAAACTTTGAAAATTTATTTTCAGGATGTACCCAAGATCTTGTAACGGAAATCCTTGCTGTGGAGTGTGTTATACGGATTTTGGTGACTTGGATATAAAATCGGATGGTGGAGGGTACTTAAAGTTCGGCACGAACTTACAACATTCTTACTTGTTTTTTTTTTTTTTTTTTTTTTTTTTTTTGTACAGATATCTTTGGTTAGACATTGTTTTCTAGCCAAATTTTTAGGCAATCGGTCCATTGCCACAACTCCTCTCCAAGATTATTCAAGAGATTTTGATAATAGCCAATTTGACCATAAGTCAGATTTTTAACGAAAAATCCACGAAAATAAACTCATGAGTACCAGCTTCAACTTATTCAACAAAAAAAAAAATAGCATTTCTGTCCTCTTGGTTGCAGAATTATTTAAATAGTTAAAAAATTCTCTTTATTTATATTTATACTATAATAAAATCGTGGTAAAAATGCATGAATTGAAGGTTAAAATCGTTTTTACTCATTAAACCTCCCTCGTAGCTTTGCAGTGTCTCAGATGACAAATAATCGAACAATTCAATAATTTATGAGAGCACTAGACATTATAGAATGTAATTAGATAATAATCGAAGTCTAAATAAATCTCTCTCAATGGCTTTTGTGAAATAGAAATCCATCAAAACAAAGAGAGAGAGAGTGAGATAAAAAATTGCACTGCAATGCTCTTTTTGTGTGGTAAAATATTCAATGCCACCAACAACAATAAAAGCCCCAAACTCACACTCAAACCCAACTGCAGCTCAGAGCGACGCTTCAAGCAACAACAATTGCAATAAACAACACAAATGCCGATTAGAGTGTATTTGTGGCTTGGTGTTACACCTCGGTTCGTTTGTTGTTGGACGATTTAAGTCGTTCGTTGACATAACACATAAGAAAACAAAAGTCGAGAAGAGATATTGATGCTCTGCTCTTGTAACAACCGAACATTACACTGATGCCAACCGGGCAGTGGCAGCAGCGCTTGCAGTAGCCACAAACAATAACACTTGTAACCCGTGTAAACGATGCTTTATTTGTGCAACAACAGTTGCCCAGAACAGACGTTGTTTCTTTTGGCGATCGGTCGGTGGGTTCGGTCAATCGGTCATTGTAGTGGTCAGTATTCAGTGTCAAGTGTTGTTGCTGCAAAAAAGAAGAATTGAAAAAAAACGGTGTCTTTGTGAAGTTAGAGAATAATCGCACAAGTGTTTCGTTTTCAAAACCGTTTAATAAAGTAATTGTGTTAAAAAAAATGCATTATTTGGTATTTTAGAGCAGAGTTCTATTTTTTCTTTTTATTCCTCCTCCACACTCATTTGGCAAAGTGATAATATTTCCATAAGAAAATCACGCACCTCACGAAATGACCCTCAAAAAAAGTGTTCCGAATCGCATGTGTTCTTTATTATGGCATACATTACCTATTTGACTAAAATAAATGTCGATGGCAATAGAATTTTAATTATTTTAACTGTTCTGTTCAATAACACATTAACCACACATCGGTGACATACCTAACCTATGAACATTCACATATAAATATATTATTGTGTTTATTTTTGAAAAAAAGTGGGGGTTTGTGCATACTGTGGCTCATGGAGGGAAAAAATAGTACGAAAAGAATGTATTAGAAAACAATTGGTTACAAACATATGTAAGCATAGAAATATCTGGAAGCGGTTAAAAAAACAAAATTCAAGAAAAAATAAATTTTATATAAAATCCACTATTTTTTGACCAGAAGGTTCTTGAAAAACGCCAGATTCGTGAGTTTAAAAAAATATATAAAAAAGCATTTCTAAAAAAGGCATTATTTTTGTATAGCAGCTCAGATGGCTGTAAATGCACGATTTTATACCAGGAAGACCTTGCAAAACATGTTGCTACAAATCAAAAATTTGGTCTAGATTGAAGGTGCTTGTTTCCAGACGAAGAATATTTTGAGTTGTATTTAAAAAAAATATGATTTTTTGTCAGGAAGTTTTTGCAACGTCCAGGACATACTTAAAAATTCAAAAAAAAAAAATCAAATACCGGAAGTTTTTAACACCCACTTTCAAAAAAATCGTTTCTCGATCAGTGTGATTTTGGCAAATATTTCGTTTTAGGTTTAAGATTTTTAAAATTCTTTAAAAAAAGTATCGATCAATTGTGATGGATTTTTTCCAAACACTTTTTAAAAAACTTCCGACCAAAAATCCTGGATTAAAAAAAAAATTCTCAAGCGCTTGCCCCCTAAAATTTTTGGATTTTTTAATTTGTCAAACTTGAATTCTTTGAAAGTATTAGAAACCAGTAAAGAAAGTCTTAAAGTCGAGCGGGGCCGACTATGATACCCAACACCACTTTGCTAATTTAGTAGAGCTCCGCATAACAATTAAAAGTTTTAATGGGAGAATTCAATCATATGATTACAATTGTAATTTAAAGTTCAAAGGACTAAATATGCCGAAGCATTTGTATCTTTTAAATTCCGGATTTGTATTGCTCGTTTGGTGCACAAATAATTTGAAATCGGATAAAAATATATATGAGAGCTATATCCAAATCGGAACCGGTCTCAATAAGATTTGGCAAAGATATTTCTGAGCTGTATTTCATATATTTCCCTGAATATCGTTGTTACGGAGTGCATATTACGGCTGTGGGTAACAAATACAACAAATCGGATGAACAATATATATGGGAGCTATAGCTATATCTGAACCGATCTTCACCAAATTTGACATACTAGCTTCTAGACTCAATTCGGTCGTACCGATCTCGATAAAATTTAGCAAATGTATTTCTGAGCTGTATTTGATAAATTTCCCCAAATATTGTTGTTACAGAGTGCATATTACGGCTGCGGAGGACAAAAATAACAAATCGGATGAATAATATATATGGGAGCTATAGCTATATAGCTGAATCGATTTCGATCAAATTTGGCATAATTATTTTGAGGTTCAATTTGATCGTACGTGCAAAATTCCATACTATTGGGACTGATATTACACGTTTGGTGCACAATAAAAGGCAAATCGGACGAAGATATATATGGGAGCTATATCTATATTTTTACCGATTATCTTCAATTTCAATAGAGTTCATCCTTGGGCCAAACAAATGATTTGTGCAAAATTTCATCTGGATAGGGCAATAAATGCGAACTGTACTTTGTTTACAAAAATACATTGACAGACGGACTCAGAATGTGTTTCTATGCAGATCATCAAAATGAACTATGGGTCTATCTCGTTTCCTTTTGTGTGTTACAGACAAATGCACAAAGACATAGTACCCTGACCACCTGGTGGTGTAGGATATAAAAATTCACGAGGTTTGATTGACACATTTTTAAAGTGTGGAATTGTTTGACAAGTATTCATAAAAATCTAAATACCTTTTTCATATAAATCTACCCAGAAAGTATTTTACAAAATCCATTTATGGCCATTTTGTATAGTCATTGAATAATTTTCTTTAAAATGCTGTTTATTAGGGACAGCACAACGTAGTGTTCTTAAAATATAACCGTTTTTTGTGAGAAAGTCATTTTTATACCCTCCACCATAGTATTGAGGTTAATATACCCTCCTCGAAGGTTAATATAACACCTCGAAATATATATTTTATACCACACAAAGTATATATATTCTTGATCAACATAAAATTCTATGTCCGTCCGTATGCGGAAATCACTCTAGCTTCCGAACGAAATGAAATATGTTAATAAAAATTTACTCAAATGTGTATTATGTCTGCAGGACTTTTTGTATTGAAAATAGGCCACGTAGGTCCACATCTTCGTATATTCCCCATATAACGGTTCCTCCCGATATTCGGTATTTTGATGATTTTAGCGACAATATTCATCAGAATTCCTTCAAATTTTGTATATGATGTTCGTAATGGGTGCTGCAGCCTATGACAGGAGATTGTCTGTGCAGGTCCACGTCTTCGTATAGCGCCATATAACGGTTCCTCCCAATGTTCGGTATGACTTTGATGATTTTAGCGAAATTATTCACTGGAATTGTTTCAAGTTTGGTATTTGAAGTTCGTATTGAATACTACAGCCTAAGACAGAAAATTGTCTGTGCAGGCCCACGTCTTTGTATAGCCACCATGTCGGTACCTCACGACATTCGGTATTTTGATGACTTTAGCTACATTATTCACTAATTTTTTTCAAAGTTTCGCATTTGAATATTGTAATGGCTTATGGCAAAAGTTACCTATGCAGGTCTTTGCCGTCGTATAGACCCTAATATAACAGCTACATTCGGAATTTTTAAGATTTGAACAGCATTTTTAACGGATTTTATTGTTTTTGAGAATTGCCAAATTCGTTCCAAATGGTGGAGGGTATTTAAAGTTCGGCCCGACCGAACTTACAGCTTTTTTACTTGTTTTAAATCAAATGTTCGTCCAGCAGGGCCAATTAAAAAAGAAGTATTGTAATTCTTGCTAACAATTTTTGTGGCTCAAAATATTCACGATTATTGATCAGCAAGCTTGTGACAAACATTTTGAAAAACATTTTGCAATTTTTCCAGAAAATTCCTGAAAAGACGTTTTTTAACATCGATTTTTTAACCATGATTTTTGGTCAGGTTTTTTGACAAGAATTTTTCCATAATTTTTCTTGAAAAATCCACGATTATTCGTCTGGAAGGACTTCAAAAAAATAAACGAGTTTTCATAAAAAAATATTCTTAAAAATATCAGAATTTTTTGGTCAGAATTCTCTTCAATTAGATCACGTTCGGAGATGGGCAACATTAGTTCACTCCATCGGGTACTTCTCTCAAAAAAATCAAAATTTTCCAAGAAATTAATTTACCTCATAAAAGAGGATAGTCTCAGCCGATTCTGCTTAAACTTGGCAAATACCAATATTTTTGTCAGCGCTAGGTCAGATACGAAAATGGGCAATATCGGTCCACTCCATCAAATACCTCCCGCCACAGAGTCAAGGTTCGAAATAATTATAACACCTATTGTCTTCAAACTGCACATATCTCAATATTTCATTAATACAAGATCAGGTGTGAAGATAGGATATGTCGGTCCACGCCTTCTGGTACCTTCCCCACAAAGGGTCAACATTTTAAATATCCATGAAGTTCATAAAACGCGAAATTAACATTTGATTCCATTCAGATTTGGTACATCTCAATATTTTGCATCAACACAAGATCTGTTATAACGATGGTAGAGATCGGATCATTTCTTCTGGTATATCTGGTAACTCCCACATATTTCTACATATTCCAAAAATTCCATATAAAGTATAGGAGGTAGTCGATATAGTCCAAATCTGCCACGTTGTAATATTTATATGAGTCGGATACCAATCGGTCAATATTGACCTACTGCTTCGGAACCTCCCCCATAAAAGGTCAACAGTTTGAATACTCATAACAATAACTAGGCCGGGAGCGTACATCTGTCGGAAAACACGACTTATACTATTTCACTTGTTATATTTAACAAAGACCTAAAATGGTAAAGACTGGACAAAATGCATTCTGAGCAAATGGTTTCTGTCTATACTGTCTAGATAACAGCTCAAGACAGGACTATGTTAATATAAAAAACACAATTATAGGAAAGAATGACAAATAAATGTTTGGATAATCCAAAATATTGGTTTCAAAATTCTATTCCATATACCTTCCCAAATAATTGCATACTGCCTTAGCGGTTTAAATTGCTTAACATTGGTAACTATGTTGTTACGATATCATAACAACAGAGGTATTTTTCACAGGGTTACCATATTTTACTCTGTCTTGTCCTATCTTTACACTTCTATGTCTTTGTATTTAATATCGGAAATCTAAAAAAGTTCTTCGTCTACAAATGCAACAAACACAAATATTTATTTATGAAAAAATTGCATTGCAAAAAGTATTTCCTTTGAAAAATTACAATGCAATTTCGACAGCTGTAGCCATTTTTAAGGAAATAAAAATTAATTAATTAGAAATTTAATTAAAAAATTATTTATGTTGTTCTACAATGGGCCACTGTATGTAACAATACAGGTACATATTTAGTCATAGGCTTTTGACAGCCTTTAAACCAAAATGTCTGCTTCTGCTTCTGATCCGTCGCTGCTTCTGCTGCCGATTTGGAGTATTCTGTACTGTTGCACTCTACTTAATTAACATTTCAACTCACGTCTTCGGAGCAGTCGACAATTGTTATTTGCATTTATTTTTTTGGTTTTGCTTTTTTTTTGTTGATGCCGTACCACTCACTTAGCCTGGCTTTCAAAGTGCATTTATTGACGTTAACTCACAAAAAACGATTCTCTAGACAAACAAAAATTCTCATTTTTTGATGAATAATTGTTAAGCCTGTCATCGACATTTGTTTGATTTTTCGTTCAGTCTTTTGTTTAATTAGAGATCGGAAATATTTACATACGTGAGTCGCTGTGTGGAGGAGTTTATAATTTTTCTTTAAATTATTATAAAGATATTCGGAATTTTGTATTAAAATATTTTATTGTAGATATAACTTTTGCCATAGTTTTCTTTTAGCCAGTGTGTTAATTGTTTTATCTTGTTAAATATGCTTTAACAATACGACTGATTACGTCTCAATAAAAGTGATTTAAATATTGTTTGTTAAACGTGTGGAAAAAGTCTGTCGCCAATTTGTCAGAACAAAAAAGAATTCAAAAAACTTTGGGTTAAAAGAAATATAAAACCGGCAAAATGGTCAGCAGCTCCTTTAAGATATCGGAAAAGGAGGTAAGTCAATGTTATTATTCTAAATAAACATATTCATTCACATAGCATATTCACTACTCAAATACAAAACTTATTTTAAAAATATTTTTCTAAATGTTTTTTTTTTCGTGGAGGGTATAAAATATAGTATGGAGGGTATATTAAGTTTGTCATTCCGTTTGTAACACTTCGAAATATACATTTTAGACCCCACAAAGTATATATATTCGTGATCAGCATAAAATCCTATGTCGATTTATCGATGTCCTTCCTATCCGTCTATCTATCCGTCTGTGGAAATCACTCTAGGTCCATGTCTTCGTATAGCCCCCATATAACGTTATCTCCCGATATTCGGTATTTTGATGATTTTAGCGACATTATTTACCGGAATTGTTTCAAATTTGGTATTTAAAGTTCGTAATAGATACTACAGCCTATGACAGAAAATTGTCTGTGCAGGACCACGTTTTCGTATAGCCCCCATATAGCGGTACCCCCCAATATTCGGTATTTTGATGATTTTAGCGACATTATTTACCCGAATTGTTTTAAATTTCGCATTTGAAGTTCGTAATGGATACTACAACCTATGACAGAAAATTGTCTGTGCAGGTCCACGTCTTCGTATAGCTCCCAGACAACCGTACCCCCCGATATTAAGTATTTTGATGATTTCAGCGACATTATTTACCGGAATTTTATTTTTTTGAAAATTGTTAAATTTGTACCAAATTGTGGAGGGTATTCGAAGTTCAGCCCGGGCGAACTTACTATTTTTTACTTGTTTTTATTTAAAATTATTTGTTTTACTTATTTTTATTAATTCCAAGGGGTTATTTCAAAAATGAAACCCTTAATAAAAATTTACATAAAGTAATTTTGATCTCGCGTCAGAGATAATCCCCTTTAACATGGCTTCACAAATAATCAGGAGCATTTGTAAAAACGTGTGGTGAATATTTTAATGTTCATTTTAAAGAAGCTTTGCATTTTTAATTCACAAAATAAATGTAACAGATTCTTTGACATTGTTTACATCAAAAATACATTATTTTTAAAGGGTATTAAACCTGGTTCTTATTACCTTCCAACGTAAAAGTGGCAATATATGAAAAAAGTTATTATCACTGCATCATTTTGTCTCTTTCTGGTTGCGTGTTTGAGGTTCTGAAAGGCTCGCTTTAAGGTATGATTTCTAGTCTTTAGTTGCGATGTCTCGCCTTCTGAAGACATAGTAGTGCTGTGGCGGTGATAAATTTGGATATGGGATTTGTATTTTTAACATTATCACTGCTTACTTTTATACAGAAACATTAACATGATGGTTCCTACGTTTTTTTTTTTAATTCAAGGAAAACCTTAAATTACGGTTGTCCTCTAAATCTCTTATATTTGGAGATATCATATAGCTATAGGGGGTTTATAGTATATAATACGCCCAAAACGTGCCGTGTCGAAAAATTTTTAGATCCCAATATTTTTAAATCCCAATATTTTTGTCAGCACTACAATGGACCATATCGGCTCACATCATCAAGCGCACCCTCGAAATTTTGTACTTTCAAAGTTTTGAGTAATTATAACACTTATAAAATGTGAGATAATAGTCCGATTGTCTTTAAATTTCACATATCCCAATATTTTTTTAATCCACTTCTTCTAGTCCACTCCCACAAAGGGGTTTAAATTTTAAATAGTCATAAAGCTCGTAAAACGGAAAATGAGCATTCGATTTATTTCAAACTCGGCACATCTCAATGTTTCTGCCAACAAAAGATCTGGTGCGAAGATGATAGATATCGGCCTTCTCCTTTTGGTACCCACACAAAAGGTCAACATTTTGAATTATTATTTCTCCCATGAAAAAATCCGATTTTTTCAAATTGTTTTAATCAACACATGATCTTGTGTGAATATGGGACATAGCGGACTACTCCTTCTGGTAACTCACCCAAAAAAGGTCAACATTTTGATTAACAAAAATGGACATAAAATGCGAATTGAGAATGCAATTCCCATCGAATTTCAAAAATTCAAATATTTCTACTAAGAGAATATCTGGTGTTAAGATGGAATGGGAAAACTTCTGCTGGTACCTAACCACAACGGGTAAAAATTTGGAATAACATAAACTCTCATAAAAAGCAAAAGAAACATTCGATTCCTTTCAAACTCGTAAAAATCAAATATTTTTTCAACACAAAAACTGGTGTGGAGCTGATACGAAATGGACAATAATGGAGAAGCTTTTCGGAACCCCCACCAAAAAGCGTCAAAAGCTTCAATAATCATAACGCAATCAATAATCATAAAGTACGTTTATCCTACACCCCATCTGCGACCCTCACTCATTTTTGGTACCGCTTAGTACTGTTAGCACTCAATTTACACAAACACACCCTTATATTTTTTGTATCACCCCTCCACAACATTGATGTGTATGCAAAACTTCAAGAATTTAGAACAAATGATTAGGAACATTATATACGAAATTTGAAACAGTTCCGTTGAATAATGTCAATAAAATCATCAAAATACCGAATATAGGGCGGTACATTTATATGGGGGCTATACCTAAAAGTAGTAGCCCATTTTCAATACCAAAAGTTCTGAAGACGAAACACACATTGCAGCAATATTTTATCAACCTATTTCATTTACTGCGGAGGCTAGAGGGATTTTCACAGAGGGACGGTCTTCGTTAAATCGTCGTAGAATTTAATGATGCTCAACGTTACATGTACTTTGTATGGTCTCTAAAACCACTTTCGAGGTGTTACAGGCGGTATGACAAACTTAATATACCCTCCATACAGTAATATTGTCGAATTCATAAAAACGAATATTACAAAACTCTAATCATCAGAATCCGAAATTTGTGCAGAATTATTTACCGTATTCGTTGAAAAATCGAAAAAAAAAACTGTTAGCTGGGTAGGAGGTAGCCTTGTTCCACCTTCTGTAATTGTGACATGAAATCATATACAGTGACGTTTAATGATTTTGAGTGAAACACCTGACCAGATTATCAAATAATTTTTGGTAGATCAACCCTCCAAGATTATTAGAAGACAAATACAAAGTTGTCATTATCAAGTTCAAGGTTGCAAATAAATGTGAGAAAGATTAGATCTGATGATGTATAACACATGTGATATATAAAATCTCACTTCGAACATTTTCCATGCCTATGATGATAATGAAGAAAGCGAAATTAATGAGGCTAATTTGTTCTGTAATGTAATAAAAAACAACTAAGCAAAGGTTATAGTCGTGCGGGGCCAACATTGTGAAACCCTACAATAGGTCCAAACACATTTTAGTCGATTATTTGAAATAATGTCATATTGTCCTGCACAATTGTTACCTTAGATTTTTTACCTGAAGTATTTTCCTTATATTTACACTCAAAGTCGTGCTGATAGTTATACAAAAAAATTTCAAGCAAAAATTGAGGTCCATTTCATACGCTAAATATAATTCAAGGGTCGTTCACAATGTTACACCTCTGCGCTGTCCTAAACCCTAACCTCATGCAAAATTCCGAGTCGATTGGTTTTTAATTGTGACCTGAAAAGCCACTGCAAGATCAGGGAAGTTTTAATGCTTGGTCCATTTGAACCCCCTAAATATACATCCTGAAAAGTCAAAGGCATTAATTCTGACTCCAAATCTACCCCCATGCACAATTTCGGAGGATCGGACGATAATGGCGACTTGAGTATAATACTCACAAAACATACTGTTGTAAGGTGAAAAATATTAAAATTCAATATTGTAAGTAGTGAAAATTTTCGTAATTTTTACATAAACCTTATGGTATATTTTTCCGGCTAAATATTGTCCGATGACCAAACAAAATGGTAGACTTCTGACCAGCCCTAAACTCTAGCTCCATGCTTAATTTCGCGTTGATTGGTCTATAATTGCGAACATTTTTCTATTTTTGGTCCAGTTCAACCCCTTAATAGTTTGTGATCAACTTCAAAAGCCATAGGCTTCTATTCTTACCTTAACCCCACCTCTATTCAATTTCGTGGGGATCGAGTCATAATTGCGACCTATAACGTGATTACAAATTAACATGGATAGGCGGACGGACGGACATACACAGTTAAATCGACTCAGGTTGACGATAAGGGAAGATCCATATATAGTTTCCTATGACGGGGACCAATATTTCAAGGTGTTACATAATTTTTGGGCCTATCAAACTTATAATACGTGTTTCTATAGCGGAATTTATGGTGCCATGAAAGAATCAGAATCCAAATGAAATACAAATTTATTTTCCAGTTTTATATGACAGATATTGGGAAAATACAACCTATTTGGTACACAGAGATTCGAAGATTCTTTATTCTTTTACCTTGGGATTGAAAAATCGTTTCAACAAAAGTTCGGTCCATGAATATCACATCTCTGTTGATTCGCTTTCATTTTCAAAAAAAAAAAATTCAAATGTCATTCGATTCAGACATTCCAATAATGCCAATGACATGTTCGACATCACCATAACATTCCCAAATTAATTGTTGTTAAAATTACAAAACCGGAAAAACGGTCAAAATTAGAAAACATTCACCTCATCGACTTAAAAATAATATCGGACATTCACCACCGACTGGACGTGCCCAGATAACCAAGGCGTTTGGGAGAATGTTATTGCGATTGAAAATAATTTTCTTTTCAATAGAATAGAACAATTTAAGGATGGAGATCAAGAAAAGACGCCACACATCAATATTGGAATGATTTATTAATGGCATATTAACACGCCATGTGTCATGTTAATAATTTTGAACGATTTCAGGGTCATGCCTACCACCACCACCACCAGCAGCTGTGGGGACAACCACAAATTCATCAATTCACAATTGAAATTGGAATTTAATTGATTTGTTAAATGGGTTAGTGTGCCAATAAAAGGATTTCGTTCGTTACGCGATCAGAGTTGAATGAATTCTTTATTGAAATTGGGTGGCATTGTCACTTCGAGTGAAGAACTTGACCCACAT